CCCCCCCCCTTTTTTTTTTCCTGGGGGAAAAGCCTGTTAATTTTATTTTCTGCTTTAAGCACGAGGAAAACACATTAATTTCATTACTCCCACCTAAAAGATCTTGGGTAAGCAAACTGTCACAAAGCAGAGTGAATAAAAAGAGTGAATCAATGCACAGATTTGATCTGTTAAGAGCATATGTATATACCTCATATCTGTGTGTGGATGTATCAAACGGTGAAATTCTGCCTTGATTGACTTTACCGAGGTCAGGATTTCACCCATAAGCTCATTAATATTGTCGATACTCCCAAATCTATTATAGAGCTTTTAACTAAAAGGCTTCCAGAGCAAAGAGAATCGAAGTCGTGGGAGTTTTGCCCCCTTAAGAGAGGATGGAAACCCGCGGGATGTCTGAGGGAGTTCTCCCTCCGCTCTCGAGTCAAGGACAATCCATTTTACTTTTAAAACGTCCTAATCACCGGTATCGATCAAGGCTCTCTAATGGGGGTGCTCTGGGATCCAGCCTGGCTCGGGATATCGCCTCTTCCCCGGCAATTCCAGCTGGATTAGGCTGCCTTTGTGATGCGTGTCAGCTCCATCTCGTCGCTCCCAGCCCTGCCCCGTGAGAAAAGGGCAGGATGACAGAGTAATCCCACACTTCCACTCCTCACCGAGCTGCCTGTTGGGTTTATTTGGACACGTTTCAAAGGGCTGAGAGCTTGTCCCGTGGAAAACAGGGCAGAGCAAAAGTCAAGAAGCACCAATGAGCCTTGGAAAGCAGAGTTAGGACTTGGCTGCTCGTGCAAAGAATTGCTGATGCCTTCGGGGCTTTGGAAATAGGGTGGGGTTAGGGGTGAGAGGGCTGATGAGGAGCATTTGGGGGTGTTCAGCTTGGAGAAGAGAAGGTTTTGGGGTGACCTAATTGTGGCCTTCCAGGGCCTGAAGGGAGAGACAAGAAAGATGCAGAGAGACTGTTTCCAAGGGCCTGGAGTGACAGGACAAGGGGGAATGGCTTCAAATTGAATGATAGTAGTTGACAATTTTACCCAAAACAGGGGAAACTAAGCCAAAATTCACCTCTACTCCAAACTTACATCTACTCAAAGACATTTCTCATCTTCTTCTTTTTTTTTTTTCCTATTAAAAGTGAATATTTTTGGCTTCTTTCCACCTGGCGAAGAAAAAGAGTCGTGAATAGACTTTTACAAGGGCCTGGAGTGACAGGACAAAGGGGAATGGCTTCAAACTGCCAGAGGCCAGG